GCCACAGCCCCAGAAGCACAGGGACTTAATGCAGAACCTGGCAGCTTGGAGCAGCAAAGTGAAAGGACTATGCGTTAATCCAGGCCATCAGGTCTGTCCGGAGGGGAAAGGGTGTTGCCCCAGTCGCCTTCTCCTCTCTGGAAAGAAAGATGGCGGCCACATGGGAGCTTTGTGGACAGCAGGTATGAGCCGGGGATGTGGGGGCGACTAAAACCTCATGGGAAGGGGGGCGTTCTGGTCCGTCCTTCACGCCCTACCGAGGTCACCAGTTGCCCCCCGCGAGCGGCTCTCCAGCACGGCCAAGGCCCCAGAAGCACAAGGACTTAATGCAGAACCCGGCAGCTTGGAGCAGAAAAGTGAACGGACTATGCGTTAATCCAGGCCATCAGGTCTGTCTGGAGGGGAAAGGGTGTTGCTCCAGTCGCCTTCTCCTCTCTGGAAAGAAAGATGGCGGCCGCATGGGAGCCTTGTGGACAGCAGGTATGAGCCGGGGGACTGGGGGCGACTAAAACCTCATGGGAAGGGGGGCGTTTCGGTCCGCCCTTCACGCCCTACCGAGGCCACCAGTTGCCCCCCACTAGCGGCTCTCCAGCACGGCCATGACTCCAGAGCACAGAAACCAATTTCTTAACTATCTGACTTTCAGTAGAAATACTTCCAGGGTCAATAAGTAAAATAGCAGAAATCCAAAACCAACATTTAATTCTTGAACCCAGCTGTAGAAAGCAAATCACGTCACAATGCTTTTTCAGCATGTCTGATTTGGGGGGGGGGGTGGTAAACTCTAAATAATAGTGGTGAACCTTTTATTGAAACAATGAATCTAATCAAAACAGATAGAGTGTTAACTAGAATTCATCTGCCCCACAGGGACTGGGAGGGGTGGGGGGTGGGGTTTTATTGGGGTTCTTCATGGTAAAAAAAAAAGTATTGGTAAAGGGAAATGTGTTTGATATTTGCATGACTGAGACCTAAACCTGAAAGCTTTGTAACCTTTCCCAAAGTGATTCAATAAATTAAAAAAAAAATACTGAGGTGTTATTAGTTATTTCTCTGTGCTAGAGAAGTTTTTGTTCATTGTTGTGAAAATTTCGTGATTTCTCTTCTTGCAGGAATGATAAGCTGTTGATGTATAAATGTTACTTCCATAGAATTATGCATAAAGTTCTTTATAACATATTTCTAAGTGTTTTCTAACTTTAATTGCCAAAATAAATGTATAAATATTTAAAGGCAGTAATTTAGCTCGATGCTTTATGCACACATTGGAAAATGATCATTTGAATAGGCTAATTAAAATATACTTCAGCCACCTCAGATACTTTATTTTGTTATGAAAATACTTATAATCATCCTTTTTTAAATTTTTTTAAAATTTATAGAGGAGTTCACAATATTTGATTACGTTTAATAATCAAACACCGATCCCACCACCAAGACACCTTCCCACTGTAAGAGATCTGTAAGTTGATGTCTCCTTGAGAACGTTTATTTCTTTTCTTTTGGATATAAATCCCAAAGTGGAATTATTGGAGCATATAATAGTCTTATTTCTCTTATATTGAAGAATGTCTATGGCATCAAGCCAGTTTATTTCCCTATACATGAGTTCCCTATTCTCTACATCCTTGCAAATCTTCATGATTGTGTATCTTTTTGCCAGTAGCTAATAGAACAAGTGGGAGGACATAAATGACTTTAGCTCTGATTTGCATTCCCCTCATTATTAGTGATGTTAATATCACTATGTCACTTTCCATGTATGTTTGGCCTATCAGATGTTTTCTTTTAAGAAATGACCTGGCCCGTTTTTTTAGGGGGGGTGTTTTATATTGAGGGGGGCTATTCCTGGCTGTGCTCTGGTTCTGGTGCTCAGATTCACTGCTCAGAGGTACTAGGGAACCAGGTGATATGTTCGGAAGGTTGAACCCAGGCCAGCTGGTACAAGGACCTGACCCAATGTACTCTCCATCCCCATCATCTGTAATCATTTTGTTATTGCTTTTGATATTAAATTGTCGAATTTCTTGCATATTTTTAGTAAATCCTTACATGAGACATGGCTTACGATTTTTTGGCTTTGTAGCTTGCTTTTTTATTCATTCACTTTTTATGCAGAAGCTTTTTAATTGGATACATTCCCATTAGTCTATTTTTCCTTTTGTTGTCTGTGATTTTGTTTCTGGTCATAATCCAAAATGTTTTACCCAGGTCAATAACAAGATGCTTTCCCCTATAAATTCTTCTAGGATTTTTTCTGTTTTTAGGTCGTATGCTTTAGTTTTAATCCATTATAGGTTGATTTTTATATAGTATGATCAAGGAGAGCCATTCTTCTGTACGGGGAGGTCTGGTTTTCCCAACGTGATTTGTTAAAAAGATTATTCTCTCCCCGTTGTGGCACCTTTCAAGATTGGTTGACCCAAAATGACAGATTTATTTGTAGGATCTCTATCCTGTCCCACTGCTCAGTGTATTTGTTTTTATGTCCATTTCTTATTGCTTTTATGTAATTTTTATTGGGCTTGAAATGGTTCATAAAATCATCTGCCTCAGACACACAGTATTATACTTTACTGTCTGCACACACTATGTTGTGTTCTCCTTCCAACGAACAGTGATCACCACCTCCCTTCCCTCCTCACTCCCTCTCTGGTAATCTACGATCTGTTCTCTGCATCTGTTTCTTTTTGTTTGTCTTCACTTGTCTTGTTTCTTCATATTGCCTATATAAGCAAAAATCATATAGTATTTCTTTTTCTCTTAATTCACTTCAGATAATATCCTCAAACTTCATTCTTTTTCATCACAAGTGACAAGATTTTATTATCTTTATGATTTGCTTGATTACTAAAATTTTGTAACATATTGTCTTCAAATTATCTTACAACATACAAAACATGATACCTTTTGTATTTTCTTCTCCGTAAAAATTTCTTTGGTTGGTTTTTGTCATTTAGAATTTTAGGGTTACACTATCCATTTACATATGGAATTTTCATTGGAGTTTTTCTAGTGATTGCAATGGAATCTGTCTTTCACTTTGGGGAATATGGATATTCTAAACAATATTAATCTTTTGTGTAAAAGCATGAGATATATTTTTATTTATTTGCATCTTCTTTCATTTCTTTTATCACTGCTTTTCTTTTATCATTTCTTTTACAGAATGAAAATGTTTTGCCTCTGTGGCTAAATTTCTTTCTCGGTGTTTCGTTGTGGTTCTTTCTTTTTTTGTACTATAAATGAATTTTTTTCATTTCCTTTTAAGTAGTTCACTAAATATAGGGATGTCATAGCTCATATGTTGATTTTAGATTACTGCAATTTTACTGAATTCCTTATTAGTTCAAACAATTGTTCTAAGTCTTTGGAGTTTTCTTCATATATAATCATGTCCTGTGCAAGAACAAATAATTTATTTTTGTTTTGGATGCCTTTATTTATTTGTGTTATCTAATTGCTTTGACTAAAACTTATAATACTGTGTTAGAGGAAATCGTCAGAGTAAACATCCTTGTCTTTGCCTTCATACATCTGATGTCCAATCCTCAGGGCTGCTGCTAAGGCAACAGCAGGACCGTAGTTAACCTTTCTAGTGACTAGAGTGGAGCGTCATTCTAGAACCATCTTTCCCCTGTTCATGAATGCCACGTCTCTTGCAACCGGGATTATAAGGCTCCCCGCTTTTGTTGTGGAAGGTTGTCAAATTGTTATTCAAATATTTGACTTAAGTGGAGGACCATGGAGAGGATCATGCTAAGTGAAATGAGTCAGAAAGAGGGGGACAGACATAGAAGAACTGCACTCATTTGTGGAGTATAAAATAACATAATATGAGACTGACACCCAAGGACAGCAAGGGCCATGAAGATTGCTCCATAGTTGGAAGTCTGACTCATGATATGGGGGAGAAGGCAGCTGGGATGGGGAATGGACCACTAAGTCAGTGATGGTTTGAGGGATCGCTCGGGATGAGAGATGTGTGCTGAAAGTAGATAAAGGACCAAATGTGATAACCTCTCAGCATCTGTATTGCAAACCATAATGCCCAAAAGTAGAGAGAGAGTATGTGGGAAATTGTCTGCCATAGAGGCAAGGGGAGGGTAGGAGAGGGGGGGTATACTGAGGATATTGATGGTGAGGAGTGCGCAGTGGTGGAGAGATGGGTATTTGATCTTTGTATGATTGAAACTCAAACATGAAAGCTTATAAGTGTATATCATGGGATTCAATAAAAAAAAGGTTGACTTAATTATTAGCTCTGCTCATTTTACAAGTTCCTTATACTTTTAAATAATCATTTTCTAAATTCACTTTGTTTATTTGTTATCAATGTGGTTTACATGCCTAATGATCTGGTGGAGCCAACATTTTGCTAACAAACCCAGAATCGAAACTTTCAGCATCTCTAAAGATGACTCCGGTTATGAAAGTTATCAAATTTAGAGAAACTCAAAGATATAGCTTTCTTTCTTGGTCAGATGATGTTACTACTCATGGTCAGTACACTAAAAGAAAGTTGTTTTAAAACATAGGGTATTTGATCACTGTATAATTGAAACCCAAGCACAAAAATTTGTAAGTCTACAACTGTACCCCATGGTATCTCACTAATAAAAACTTAAAAAAAAAAAACCATAGTTCACTGGGCCAAAGTCACAGTGCAGCAGGTAGAGTGTAGCCTCAGACACCGTGGACCCAGGTTCAACTCCCAACACCCCTTATGGTCCCACAAGCTGCCATAAGTGATCCTGAGCACGGCCAAAGCAAAAGAAGAAAAAGAATAGCTGATGCTCTAACTTTATCACATTTCCAGAGAAGAACAATAAATGAACCGAAAGTCAAATTCTCATCCACAAAAGCATTCAGTTCCAAATATAGACTGAAGATTTTTCTCCCCAATTAAATCTACACCATTGTCATTTTTGTATCCTCGCTCTACAACTTAAACTTATAACCTTAATCCTGTTTTCTTTCTGTTCTCCATACTTTCCCAGGTCAAATATGGAAATTATGCTTTTGTTTGGGACGCAGCTGTCCTGGAGTATGTGGCTATCAATGACCCCGATTGTTCTTTCTACACCATTGGAAATACCGTAGCAGACCGGGGATACGGAATCGCGTTGCAACACGGCAGCCCTTACCGAGATGTTTTTTCGCAAAGGTAAGATCTGCGTATGGTCCAAATAAGGAACACGGGAATATAGAAAAAGAGAAACCGCGCGGTTACCCAATTGCATTGGTTTTGTCTAAAGAATCATACGCACAACTCAAACGGAGTTCTTAGTGACTTCTCAAGAGGACAATCATCGCCTGCTTACAGCACAGAGTGAAGTCTTGCTTTCCTACAAAAAAAAAAAAATATAAGCTGCATGTAACTGGTTTTACACTCAAAGGTGACATACAAAAGTTTGTGTTAACAATCTCCTGAGGACCTCATTGAGTGGGTTCGTCCCTGAATATTGGGAATAATAGGTCTCATAAAATCAGCAAACCTAACCATGTAGAAAAATACCAAAACTGTATAATAAACCCTTGAAACAAATTTAAGTTCTAACAGATATGGCAGTAGGAATGTTTCTAATTGGAAGAATTTTGGTCTTAGGAAGGTGGGTTTATTTTGGAATGGGCATACTCTGAGCACTCTTTGAATGTTTGCATAGAAATCTCCAATGTCTGTGAGGTTGGAGTTATCTAACAGCCTTGAGGAGGCAACTTGCCCCCCCCTCCCCGGGGCCCCTCCACGTGTGTGTGCTTAGACTTGCGCTGATTCTCTGCTGGTTCCACACTGGCTCCTGGGCACCCCAAGCCTCCACGTCCAGGCTGCCCAGTTGCTACTTCTTTTTCTTTAAAAAAAATTCTTTTATTTTATAAAGTAGTTCACAATATTTGATTACATTTAATATTCAAACGCCAATCCCACCACCATCACACCCACTATATTTCGGGTGTTTCCATCCCAAACCCCAATCCCTGCCCCCAAGTAGAGCTGAAATAATATATTTTATATTGTTTGTTATGAAAAACCACTGAAAATGCTCCCCAAAAGTCTCCTTAGAGGAAAGAGTGTGGAGATTTTTGTATTTCACCCAGTGGCCATTAAGCCTTTCTATAAGAGATCACTAATAATCACTAATGTTGTTAAAGGTTGAGCCTTGTGTGCTTTTTATATATGTCACTGTCACTCTCACTGTCTGTCCTCCTGTTGTTCATCGATTTGCTCGTGGGCCCAGTAACGTCTCCATTGTGAGACTTGTTACTGTGTTTGGCATATCGAATATGTCACGGGGAGTTTGCCAGGCTTTTCCATGCCTGGCAAAAAAATGTACATTTTCCCTCTAATTGGTTGCCTCCTACTTTGAACCCCATCAAGTGTGGTGCGGTACTCTCGCAGTTCGGGAAGGGCGTGTGGTATGAAGTATGCTGAATAGGTTCACTTGTGGGTGGGAAGTGGCCATGAGCATGGTGGCAGTTGGGTTGTGGAAGCTTTCAGCTACCAGGGTTGGGTCCCTGAGGGCGGGGAGGGCTCTCACCCAACCCTTCTGGGGCACCCCGAGTGAAACACCTGGCGGGTCCAGCGGCATGGCTGTGTCAAGTGTCATGTTGCTCCTTTCTGGGGGGGGGGAAGGATGTGCCGGCACTGCTCTGCCACTCACGTCCAGGTTGTCTGTGCCGATGCTCTGTCATCTGTCCCTGGGATGGTCCTGCCCAGATCTCCAGTGTCCGCATGGCCCCTCTGCTTTCCTCGGTTCTCGCCAGGCCCTAAGCTGTGGGAGAGGAGAGTGAGACCCTCTGCCCTGCTGTGGGCTCGGGCATGGGTGTGGGCATGAGAAGCACTTCCCCAGGGCCGGTGGGCCTGGGGGCTAGAAAGGGCTGACCAGCTAGGGCCACCCTTAAGTGGCCCTTACCATTTACACCCAGACACCATTATTCATTTTCATACCTTTCGGCCCAGTGAGATTTCAAGTGAGTAATTGAGTCAGATTACCTGGTGCCTTTCTTTCCACTCCCATGTGAACATTGGGCTGGAGCGATAGCACAGCGGGTAGGGCGTTCGCCTTACACGCGGCCAACATGGCCAACCCGAGTTCGATTCCTCCGCCCCTCTCGGAGAGCCCGGCAAGCTACCGAGAGTATTCGATATGCCAGACACAGTAACAACAAAGTCTCCAATGGAGACGTTACTGGGCCCGCTCGAGCAAATCGACGATCAACGGGAGGGCCTTTACCTTTACCTTATGTGAACATTATTGCTATCACAGTATAAATGACTAGGATGACACTTGGGAGGGGAGAGGCTTTTAAAGAAGTCATACACACCCTCACATCATGACTTCATGCTCTGTCATTTAAGAATGGTTACTGAGAAGGACAGGGAAAGACAGGAACTGGGTGTGGGGAGTAAGAAGAAGTGATAGGAGGTCGCCGGGGCAGAGGCCTTCGCCATGTTGGTTGGGTAGAGTGTGGCATACGGGTGTGTCTCACCCACAGAGCCAATGGCACTGAAGTCAGTCAAGGAGCAGACGGGGTGGGGGGAGGGAGGGGAAGTGGGAAGGTACGTCTATGTCTCACTGGACAATAATAGACCATTTGGTTTATATTCTGTTTCTACCTGTTATCTAAAAACTCATGTCAGACCTAGAGAGAAATTCTAGATGGTACCAAACTTCCAAATTTTAAACGATCATAACTGCATATCCCCATATTTTGGGATAAGAGAAATCAACTACTAAAGGACAGTTGAGGGGTCTAGTTGGAAATATAAGATCTATGCACATCAAACAGGGACTATAAAGAATTTTCTTTTAACATGTGTCATACACGTGTGTGTATGATTATTATTTCTATTGTTTTAATTATACATTTGAGACATTTAGAGAATTGGATACCGCACAGAATAGAATAGTAATCAAAATAAATTAAAGATGTCTAGGGGTCAGACTTTTTTTTTAGAAAACAATACCTTTATTGTAGATCTTACCTTTACGTATGCATAGAATGAGTCTAAATATCTTTTTATATTCCTTAATCTCCTTGATTTGATGACACAATAAATATATTGAGTTATTTTAGAGGAATCTGAGTTTGATCTGAGTTTCCTTAGCCTCATCATACTACTTTTTTCTGTACCCCTTCTAAGATTCAGTCATTTCTGATCATTTTTTTTCTTTGTTACAGTTTTTTAATAATATTAAAGCCACGTGATTTCTATGATTTACAAAATATTCATATTTGGGTTTTAAAAATACTATGCTCCGCATCAATTCCACCACCCGTGTCTCCCAGGCTCTCTCCCCACCAAACCCGCCAGTCCCCAGCCTGCCATATTTATCAGTTTGTTGAAGTTTGCATCTGGCGTTTTTCCTGCTGCTGATGCTGTGTTTCAGACATTTAGCTGTACCCTCCTTTACAGCACCGATGGGCACAGATTCTCATTGCATCCTGTCTAAATCCACCCCCCCCCCTTCAATATCTTTCTTTCTCTCCCCACTATGCTCAGAGGTGAAGGGTGATCCAGGCATCGCTTTTACCACATCTCATTTCCTCATCCAGTTATTCTCTATACCGCATGCACATGAGGTCACCCTGTGTCTGTCCTCCTTCTGACTTACGTCACTTAACGTGATATCCACCACTTCCATCGTGTTGCAGTGAACTGCATGATTTCATCCATCCTTACGGCTCTGTAGTTTTCCATTTTGTGTGTGCGCCACATCTCCATATCTACTTCTCTGCCATCATCCTCGTCTCTTGATGCACATCTTTTTTTTCTGTTCTTTTTTTTTAATTCTACAAAGTAGTTCACAATATTTGATTACGTATAGTATTCCAACACCAATCCCACCACTATTACACCTTCCTACCTCCAAATTTGGGATGTTTCCTTCTCAAGTCCCAATCCCTGTCCCAAAGCACAGTCAAACAAATATATTTTGTATTGTCTGTTATGAAGAACCGCTGGAAATGCTTGCAAAAAAGTATTTATATAGGAAACAGTGTGAACATCGTATAACATCGTATTTCACCCAGGGACCATTGAGCCCTTCTATAAGAGATCTTGAATATATTGTTAAAGGTTGAGCCTTGTGTGCTTATCTGTGCATATATATGCTGGAGCGATAGCACAGCGGGTAGGGCGTTTGCCTTGCGTGTAGCCAACATGGCTGACCCGAGTTCGATTCCTCCGCCCCTCTCGGAGTGCCCCGCAAGCTACTGAGAGTATCTCGCCCGCACAGCAAAGCCTGGCAAGCTACCCGTGGCGTATTGAATATACCAACACAGTAACAACAAAGTCTCACAATGGAGACGTTACTGGGCCCGCTCGAGCCAATCGATGAACAACAGGACAGTGACAGTGACAGTGACATATGTAAAAAATATATATCTATATTTCCCTCTAAGATTGGTTGCCTCCTACTTTGAAACCCATCCAATGTGGTGCGGTACTCTTGGAGTATGGGTGGTGTGAGTTCTGAGATACCCAGGAATAGGTTCACTCATGGGTGAGGCTCGGCCCAAACTTGTGGAGAGCAGCCATGAGTGTGGCGGTGGTTGAGTTCTGGAGATTTTTGGCTGTGGGGGCGGGTCCCTTGGGGTGGGGAGGGGCTTCACCCTACCCCTCCAGGGCACCCTGAGTGAGACAGCCTGGCGTGGGTCCCGCAGCATGGTTATGGTGAGTGCCATGTTATGCTCCCTTCCGGGAGAGAAGGACATGCGACTTGGGATGGTGGAGATGCACATCCTTGATACCACATATCATGATCCACTTCTCTTTGTGATCCATCTAGGCTGATTACATACACTAGCTTTGACACTGAGTGCTCCAATTAATAATGGTGTCCACGTGCCTTTTTGAATGAATGGAGAGGTCGGTCTTAACCTCGCATGTGGCTGATCAGTGTCAATCCCTCGATCCCTATATGCTCCCCAACTCCCCCAGGAGTCATCCTTGCATACGGAGCCAGAATTCTGCCCTGAGCACTGTTGGGTATGGCTCCCACAAAATAAAAAGAGGAGTTTTATTTTTATCACAATTTATCTTGCAATATGTAATTAGATCAGAAGGCAAGAAAAATAGACACAGCCTTGTCTTCCTTTCTTTCCAGCTCCTGTTTTTAGAACTTCTACATTCTTCTTACCATAATGGAGATAGGAAACATGCCT